GTCTTTCAAACTTGATGTTGAAATCTATTAGATAAATACACTGTACAAGAAATCGCTTCGGCCCAAAATTCCTTGGGCATTGTTTTTGCTTTCAACATGCATCTAGCCATATTAAGAATAGTTCTATTCTTTCTTTCCGCAACTCCATTTTGTTGTGGTGATCTTAGAACCGTTAAAAGGCGACGAATTCCATTAGATTCACAGAAATCATGGAATTCTTTGAAAGTAAATTCACCTCCTCTATCTGTTCTTAAGGACTTTATTTTACAATCACAATATTTTTTTACAAGAGTTTTGTAATTTTTAAAAGTAATAAAAGCATATAATTTTTGCTTTAAAAAATATACCAAAGTCTTCTTATTAAAATCATCAATAAATAGTAGAAAATATTTGTTTTTACCAAATGAGAGTGGATTGATTGGCCCACACACATCGGCATGCACAAGTTGAAGTAGCTTGGTTGCTCTTGTAGTAGCTTCTTTTGGGAACTCCTTCTTGAATGCTTTCCAAGTAGACATGCTTCGCATAATTGATTAGGATGGTTGATTAATGACATCCCTTTCACCATTTTTTCTTCTCCCATCGCCTTTAGTGCGCCAAAGTTCAAATGACCAAATCTCATATGCCAACATCATGTTTCATCTTCCATACTAGCCTTCAAACATCTTGTTTTAATAGTTTTGAGATTCAAGATAAACATTCTATTTTTTGACATGTGCACCTTAGCAATCAAATTAGCACTTTGATCTTTAACCCAAAGACAGTAATCTTTCATGTGAATTTCATATCTATTTTCAATAAGTTGGCCCAAACTCAAAATATTATTTCTTAACTTTGGCACATAGTAAATATTAGTAATAAGTACATGCTCACCATTTTTTGAAGAGATTAGAATTGTATATTTCTTTTGAATTTGAACTTTTGAAGAGTCTCCAAAAGAAATATTATCATTAATCTTCTCATCAAGCTCCACAAATTTTTCTTTATTGCCGCACATATGATTGCTTGTTCCATTATCCAAGTACCATGAATTATGTGTATCACTATCTCCCTCTTTACATGCTAGCAACAAAGTTGTTTCTTCCTCATCTTGTTTATCATTGACAAAATTAGCTTGTTCCTCCTTCTCGTTTAAAGTGTTACGACATTCCCAAACATAATGTCCATATTTATGACAATTGTAATATTCAATATTTGATTTGTTAAAATTTTTATAGTTACCTCTTCCTCTTTCACGGGCTCTATTTGATGGTTGACTTTTGTCTTCATTATCGGCATCATTTTGAATTTTATTTCTTTTAAATACTTGACCACGACCACGACCACGACCTCTACCTCTTCCTCGTCCTCTTTGCTTTCCACCATCATTCAAAGATGCCTTTCATTTGA